CTTGCATAAAGAGGTGATCTTTCGTGCGTAATTCTTCCCAAACATATGAATCAAGAGTCTCTGAAGCAACACCTGGAGAAGTCCCAAGAGAGAAAACTGTGATTTCTCTGAACACAAAGATCTGTTCATTCACGAGATTCTGGTATTCAGACAGAAAACAGAACAGTTCTGCCATTTTCATATAATGTGATATAAAGCTAGTGCAACGTTTACTTTTCACTTTTGCCTTTTCTTTCAAGAACATTATGCAGCACCACAGTCACTTACTGGTGCTTACAGATAGACCTTTTGGGGAGATTTTTACCCTGGTTGTGCCTGCTGTGATTGTTCAGCTAGAGTAGATGTTCTCAGTGCTTCCAGCAGTCAGTTTTTCAGTCTCAGCTGTGTAAGCATGCATATGGCATGTGAGTTAAATAACATACAGACTTCAACTTGTGCAATTGCAATCCTAATGAAAATCTTCAGGCTGTCTCCATCGGCAGGTTCAGTATAATGGTCAGAGACGAGCATTGGAAGGGGGAAGCAGGGAAGAGTGAGGAGTTCTGCTTTATCTCATCCATATGTGAACAAAGTCAAATTTTAAAAGTGTCATCAACATGGAACTGTAACTGTGAAGCAAAAGTAGTATGGACTGAAAAGGGCTGAGAGTGGCTTCTTGAGGACAATTAGTGTTAGCATTTCTTTGTTAGGTGACTTTTGAGCTGCGTTGAAGATGGGTGGTAAAAGTTCTTCTGTTTTTTCCCTGCACTTAAAAGAGCATTCCTGTCCTGCCCTGCACAGTCTGTTTATTATGTGTTGGTTACACAGGCATTTCTGACTTGATTTCCTTGTGGTGACATCTCTCGGGTTGGAGCAGGTTGCTCTAGAAGAGGCTTGGCTGGAGGGTGTGGGCACTGAGACTGTTTACACTGAAAACTTTGCACTACTGAACAGTGCCTTCTGAATGCCATGAAATGTACACGATTTCAATGTGAGCAGGGAAATACTGATATTGCCATTTGGCAGAGTGTGGAAATGCGGCCGCAAGAGTTAGATATCAGAGGGAAGGTGTGAATGAAAAAATAGCACAATTTTTTCTCTTTTTCTTTGCGGACTAGAGATAAGCTAATGCTTGCGTGTGCATATGCAGTGTCCAAGGTCTGCAGTGTGTCAGGCGTGGGGTGCCAAATTGTCTGTCTTTCTACCAGAACATTTTTTCTTTAATTTGGGAAATGTGGTGGGAACTGATAGCATCTTGTTTCTGAGAGAGACTTTCTGATAATCTCACTGGTGGTATCATGTCTCCGTGTGAGACACTAACTCCTGGCCCCTGCTGCAGTGACAAACTCGGCAATAACACAGCGCTCGGAGTTGCTCTCGGGTCAGAAGCTGTGCAAGGCACCCTTGGCACCCAGGCTGGGAGTTGCCAGCCCTTTTGTTTTGCAATTAAACTATACCATAAACTCTTCAGTTCAGTGAGGGGAGGGGCAGGAGGGACTCCTACTCATTGCCTTTTTCCTTGTCTGATTTAACATTTCTTATGTCACACTGGAATCCTTTGGTCATGTTCCAGAGTCCTTGTGTGAACTAGTGCCATTTAGATGCCTTTTAATGAGGTTGGTTGAAAGAGACTGAGGAACTGGTGACTTTTTTAAAGGGTATTTGCATGATTTGCATGCCATTCCTTTGCAATTCTGTGATAGTTTCCAAAACCTGTTTAATCTTGTCAGTGGTATCTGTCTGCTGTTTGAGGAGGAGACTCAGAGATGCATGGCTTCCAAAATGTCCAGTAAATACTGGACAGGTTATTGAGTATTTTTAGGTTACTGCATTTTGAATATATTGGGCAGGGATTCTCTTACGGATGAGTGCAGGCAGAGCTGTTTCACCAGAAATCCAGAACTACAACCTGCTGCGTTTTAGTTTTGGAATAGCTCAACAGGCTTTCAATTCATCGCAGCGTAATACTGTTCTTCAAACAAATCACACACAAACTCGTATGCCTCTCTGCAGTCAGTTAACTCCTTTGTAACAGTTGAGAGAGCACTGCAGCAGCAAATCTGGGTCACACACCCTACAAAGGACAAACGACTACAGATGAGAAGAGCTTGTGTGCTCTCTGTCGCTGAAGAAGAGACTAAAATTAGCTTCTGACTCTTATTCGAATTAAAAATTACCCAAGGGGAAAAGAACTAATTCTCAAAAAGACAACTGTTACATCTTAAACTCACACAGTCTCAGCCACGTATTACTCCAACTAAAGAACAGAAATTAAAAAATAAAAAGGTCGTAACCAAACTTTCTGGGAGAAAGGGGATTTTGTTTTCCATAGTGTATCTCAGAAGGGAAATACAAATAAGGTTATTGGGGACTCCAGATGAGTGTTCCTGTGCTACCCTCCGTACAGTGCTGCAGCAGCATCTCTTCACTCTACCGTCTCCAAAATATCATGCTTTTTAGCTGTGGAGTACTGCCATATACACATTTTGTCAAAATAAACCTTAGCTAAACAGGTTTTACAAGAGCAATGAATGAATTTGCTGCTAGCACAACTTTGTGCAGGATCAGCATTTTCCACAATCATTTATAAAAAGTGATTAGAGGAGACCAGAGAGTATGAACATTGCTAAGTCGCTGCCTGATGCCAAGTGCTGCCAAGAAGACACAAATTTGTTAATATAGTTTTAGATCAAGAAAACAAATCATATGCCCAGCTTAAGGAATACCCTCTGTTTAAGGCGTAATCTCTCATTTTGCAGCGCTGTGCTTATAAATCCTTTGCAGCTTTGGGGATCACCTTCTCCAGCAGAGCAGATGTAGTGATTTTTTAAAAATATATATCTCTGAATATTAATGGGTTTTTTCTAATGTTAAATGTTTTCCTAAGCAACAAGGACTATATGAAGGCGAAGGCAGATCACATTCTGTAGGAATAAAGCCTTATGTACAGTATAAGAACAAAATGCAGCTAATGAAAGTGATTGTTGGAAGTAGCTATGCACAAAGATGAATTCCTGTATCCCAGAAAACATTAAACAGCTCTGCCTGCACTCTTCCTTAAGAGAATCCCTGCCTAACATATCCAACATGCAGTAACTTAAAAATACTCAATAACCTGTCCACTACTTATTGGACACTTTGGAACCCATGCATCTCTCTGAGGCTCCTCCTCAAACAGAAGGAGTTTTCGTTGCCACTCTACCATGAGGTGGTGATGGCTGAAAAAGACTCAGAGCTGAAGATGGCACAGCTGGGAGTTTTGCAACCTCCCACCCTCCGTTTCCTTCCCGGTGGGTGAGACCCTGTGCAGCCATCCCCATGCCTTGCAGCACTGCCTCTCTGAGTGGGAAGCGAGGCCTGCAAAGAATGCTCTCCTGTTCCATAATCTCCTTTTCCATGGAGTCCTCTCCATTCTGGAAATAGATGGCTTCTTTTCAGCACTTTCTACTTGGATTTTGCATAGCTGTCTGGTTTGTCTCAGACTCATGCAATTACTGTCCTTGGTGGAGCTGCTTTAGCCACGATTCTGGTGTAGACAAGTCACTGAAACTTGAATTACCCAGACATATAGTCTTTCTCCAAATAACATCCCATAATTATAGCCTGTGGGCATCTATATCCTCAGTCACATATGTTAATGGGAAAACATCATTGGTAAACAGAAAAAGAGATGTGTGAAGTCCTTGGAGCCTGGCGTTCTCAAACAAAATCTGCCTTGTTCTGGGGGACAGATTGGGGTCTGATGTAAAGACAGAAGGATAGTTGGGAAGGTGGTATCTGTGGTTTTGTTTCTGCTTTAAAATGTTTAAAAGTGTTTTTTTTTTCTTGGTTTATTTTGCATTTTAAAAATGCTTTTGTTTACCCTATTTACCCTCCAACATTGGATGCCAGGGATCTGTAGAAAAACCTAGACTAATTTAACAAAGAAGGTCACATTTGCCTTGAAGGTCCCCTTTCTAGGTCTCTCTGGTGGCAGACTTTATGTTCAACTCTGTAGCATTTCTGAATGTGGGTAGCGTAACACACATAGGGTTTGAATGCTGCAAGTGAGAAGTGTGAAAAATTCAGGGGATGTTCTAGGCACCACTAGACAGAACTATATTGATTTAGGAGGAAATCCCAAGGAGGAAATAGTTCTTGTCAACTGATTACTTGAAGTTATGGTTATGCTACTCTTGCAGACGTCTATAAATTAAACTGCCAACGGTTGGCATCTGCCACTGTCACAGTGCTATAGGTCATCCTTTCCTTAGAATTTAGTCTGATGCCAGAGTGACTTACCTGCCACGCAAATAGTGAGGGGGCATTTGGGAGTCAGGAGGAAGGCAGATTGTGCTTGGGAGATGTGTATGTAGTCCCAGCATGGAGAGGAGAGTGGTTTCATAGCATCGGATGGAGGGAAGCAGTGCCCAGCCCCCTGGCAAGCAGACACTGAGGGACCGCAGTACAGGAGTAAAAGAGTTCCGGGCAAAAAGGGGTACCCATGAATGATATCATGACTTGAACTGTCACGTGCTAAATGTTTTCACGTGCTGGTGGTTCTTTTCACACTGAAATTCTGGAGTTCCTTGAATTCTGTTTCCAAGTTGCCATCTTTCCTCCCTCAACTCATGTGGAGGTATTCTCCTACTAAAACAGGGAGGAGGTCGTATTGATTTTGGGGAGATTTTCCTACCTCATAACTTGCCAACAATGCAGCATCTGAGAAGTTTAAATTGGAATTAGCTGACATTTTCCTACTCTCCCAGGAGTTCAGGAGTCTTTGAAGAACAGCCCATCTATGTGGGGTGAAGGTGGTGAGCTTGAGTGATAATTGATTCTGTCTGGAAACTTCTATGCTGATCCCTAAAACCAGGAGGGAAGGTTTGACATTACTTACAGTCAGTGGGGACTCTTTTTTTTTTTTTTTTTTTTTCCCCTGTCTTTCTTTTACTGGATAGTTTCAGCTCAGAGTAACTGAAGATGGATTGAAGTATAGTACCTAATCAGGAAGATGTGAAAAGATTTATTTTTCTTTACAGAAAAGGCCACAGATGGCTCTCTGCAGAGTGAAGACTGGACACTTAACATGGAGATCTGTGACATTATCAATGAGACAGAAGAAGGGTATGTGCTATTTCAGCAGACTTTGAAAGGTTCATGAACACAATCTTCATCCAGTCATAGTCAGCATGTGAGGAGGTGCAGTGAGTCTGGGGGCAGATGCTCATAGTTTGAACGCAGTTTGCATACGAGTTGCTTAGTTTTCCAGCTCCTTAGGCATTTCAGAAAACTACTGTATGATACAGCACTTTCTGTGGTCGGTCTCTGCTTGGGATGGCTGGGGTGAAAAACGTATTGTTGGAGAGGGTACTGACTTTGTACTTCTGGGGTTCTTGTTTTCAGCAGGTGTTATCTCTTTGCAGTGCTGCAATGCTATTAATTTCAGCCTTTTGAATAGAGACCTTCTCTGATGCATCTCCTTCAGCATCAGAAAAGCTGCGCTGCTTGCAGTTTGCAGGTCTTACGCCCTGGGCCTTTTTCTGAGTGGGTCTCAATTTTTCTTGCTTGATCAACATCCTACCTTTTTGGAGGCCTTGGGCATTGCTCCGGTCTTGACTTCTGTGGTATCTTGTCTCCTCACATAATTCTACATGACCCTAGTTTGGTTGTAGTCAAGTAATCTGAAGTTAACACACATGCTTATGTCCAGCTGGAAGTGGTACAGGATTCCTTTTCCCACAATATATGACATGTGAAAAGTGTGTCTGATCTGTCTTTTAAAAACGGTGTATTTCTCCTTCAGTCCAAAGGATGCCATTCGAGCACTGAAGAAGAGGCTGAATGGAAACAAAAATTACAGAGAGGTCATGCTGGCACTGACGGTGAGTGGGGGCAGGCTGGAATGCCTCAAAAGGGCAGAATCCTTTTCTTTTGTCATTTTCCTTTTCCTGGCAGTTTCTTGAATGTACACACTATTTGCTTTAACAGCCACTGCTCTGCTCTTTTCTTCTCTCCAATTGCCTCCTCACTTCCTTGGGGAGAGTTGCTGGAACCTTTGCATAGCATTTTTCTGACTCAATTGATTTTTTTCGTGGATCTTATTCATCCAAAGTACTGACTGAGGAAAATTAAAGTAGCCCAAATGGGTCTGTTCCCTTCTACTCTCCTCTCCCTGTGTCCAACCGTTTCTCCACTTCAAGGCAACAGCTGTGGGCATATCTGCAAGTGAGGATGGTGAACTTCCCATATTTTCAGCTTCATAAGTAGCTGATTCACAATTACCCTTGTGAATGGATCTGTGTAGGAGACTCGTGTTAATTTATGCTGATCTAATTTCACTCAATAAAGTGTAAATTATATTCTGTGCATTTAGGCAGCACTGCTAAGGTGTGAGATAATTTGCCAGTGACCTTTCCTACTGATGACTTTAGCTAGGGGTTTCCTGGGTAATGCAGCACTCCTGAACATGTGGTGCTGGGCAGGCTCTGCACAGCAGCAGTCTAAAGAATGAGCAGCAGTAACTAGATCGAGTTATACTCCTGTGGGTAGGTGATCTGTATGATTCTTTCACACAGCTCTTGTTGCATCTCCCTGACGAAGCGTAACTGTACTTTCTGTCTTCTTGCCATTTCCTATCCTGGATTGTCATTTTGACAGATTACCAAAGACCAAACCATGAGATTATCCATTGTGCAGGAAAGAGCGAAATTCATCAGGAATGAGTCCGTGTCATCAGGGCTGATGAAAGTAGCTGAAGTAGGAGAGTAATTACAGACTCCTCAGATACAGAGTCACAGTGGTTATTAGGCATGGCTGTAAGGAGAAGTGACGCATTGGATTTATCTCCATGCTAATCATGTTCTTCAGAGAAAAATCAACAGCTGTTCTTCCATGGCAGTTGAATGGCAACTGGAAGGTGCCTCTAGCTAGGTTGCAGGGGGAAAATGTGTCAAAGTATAACCTGTCAGAACATTCACAAGGGAGTGTTTTGAATGAGTGAAGATCATTCACCTGAATTCCCAACTCTAAAACATGGCTTATAGCTCAGAGCAGCTGGGTCCAGCTGTGTTCCAGGTACATAGAAAATGGTGGAGTGCCACAGCACGATAATATCTCACTGTGACAGGATGTCCTCTGTCTTACCTGCTCTTGATGTGATGCCATGTACTTAGCTGTTCAGCTGCGCAGGTTGGAAAGTTCTGCTTTGAAGAGGAAGAAACTGTATGTCTTTACCTTGAACACAGGCAAAGGTAGATCACAAAAGTCCCCAATATGTTAATGGTGGGTGAGGTACATCTAAATGTGTGTGTAGAAAAGTAAGCTTTTTGGTACGATTGGGGAAGAAAAGAAGAATTAAGAGTATAAGTGTAATTTCTCCTCTGTCTTCTCTCCCTCCCATCAAAAGTTTTAAAATTTAAAAAAAAAAGACAAAACCAAAATCAGAAAACAACCACATAGGTGCTGTGTGTGTGATCAAGCTTTGCTCCAACAATGAATGGGTTTTTTTGTGTGTGTAGGTGTTGGAGACCTGTGTGAAGAACTGTGGCCATCGCTTTCACGTCTTAGTGGCAAACCGTGACTTCATAGATGGTGTTCTGGTGAAAATCATCTCGCCCAAGAATAATCCCCCCACTATTGTACAGGATAAAGTACTAGCACTGATTCAGGTACACAGCTTGTCTCTGCTTCCATATGTTGCTGCCTGAAATAAGGACTGTCTGCTTCAGTGCTACGCATCACTAAACAGGCTGTCATCATTAAAAATGTGGCAAGTTTTTTATATGTAAAAACAAACAGTATATCCAGATTGGCAGGGAAGAGCAGACATGCACACGCATAGATACTTTATCCAGGGAGAAATGTGTGGATTCTAGTTAGAGGTACCAATGTACTCTAAAACAAGAGGACTTAATAAAAGATAAATGGATGGCTTTGCAACTTAACAGTCAAATCTAGAAGCTGGAGACTTGCTTCTGTGATGGGCTTGTCATCTGAGGCCAAGAAATTTTAGAGGATCGCACTTTCGCTGTCAGTTGCAGAACACTTGCCTTTCTGTGTCTGTTTCCCTGACCGTAAAATGGAGCTGTTTCCCTCCATTAGAAAGCATTCTGAATTCCTTTTAAAGATGGTTATAGAAAAGTAAATGACCATATAGGAGTTAAAATGCTTCTGGTGTCTTTTCTCTGGTTATTGTGCAGTAAAAGTGCACTGTCAGATCCTTGCCTGCAGTGGAGAAGTTCAGATGTAGGCCTGTCTGCCCCTTTTCTTTTCTGTGCAGCGTGACAATAAACAGCCATGTTAATTCCACAAACCATTAGTAACACATGAGGAAACATTGGTGCCTGCCTGGAGGAAATCTGACAATTATAGGAAGCTTTATCACTAAGCTCCTACAGGCTATTGCATACACCAGAGACTAAAAGACACTGCGTATTTAAAATGATATAAACCTGCTGCAGTGTTTCTTATGGGAAGGTATTTACAAATGCACAGCATAGTTTTCCAAATATACTTCTGATTTTTGTGGCAAAGCATTCAGTTGAGTTTCTGCTGGTTTATTTGTTATTTGGATACACAGATAGGACTTTGTTAGAGCATGACAATGTAAATAAGTGATTTCTGAACAGGAAATACACTGGGTGGGGGAATTAGGTGGGCATTGTATTGGCGTCTGTGGGGTCCCTTTATTTCTGGTCTCTAATCTCAAGGCTTTTAAAAAAATAGCACAACATTAATGAAATTATTAAAAGCAATCTGACTGAGCCCTCGGATGTCTGCCTGCTTTGGTGGGAGAGCTGATGCATGCAGTGACCAGGAAATGAGGTTAAATACTGTCCTGTAAAGAGAAACTGTGTGTGTTTCCATACTGTTTGCTACAGTGTTTTAAGAGGATGTTGATTACTCTGGGTCCTGAATTTAAGTGGATTCCCAGTCATCAATGCAACTAAGATGGAAGTGTTTGTAACATAACCAAAAAGCCGCAGTCATTGCCCGAGTGTATTAAACAGCTTTATCTGAATAGACTTAGTGCAGTAGAGCTAAAAGCCTCACTCTGGGTACTAAATGCCTTTTGGTATAAGAAGCCTGAGAATTATGAAAGTTGCCTGTGGGTGGGTTCTGTTAGTGTGTCTTTAGCTGGAGGTGGTAGGGGACTTTGTTTTCCAGATTGCCTGACAAGTTTGGAAAAGTGATTGCAGTCACTCATCTCAGGTGCCCTATGGACATGCATACCCAAAATATCCCATACGTCATGACCACTTCGCTCAGCTTAGACTTTGCTCTTTAGAGCTCCCTGCAGTTGGAGTTAACTCCGTTCCAGGGGGCTGATCTCTTCTCAGCTCTGCTCCACTAACATTACATTTATCCCCTTCTGTAGGCTTTTTACAATTTGATAGCAGGGAATTAATAAGAACAGAAATGAGAGGATTAATAGCACTTGGAAGCATGGAAAAAGGCTGTACAAACAGTCTATGTCTTCAGCCACACAGCTCTTGTACTCCTGGGCCTTTCCATAGCAAGGGTAGATGAAGCTGCCGTCCAATTTCTTATCTGGAGATTTGACTGTTCTGAGATGTTGAGCATCTTGGGTCTCACTTTCTCAACCTATTTCCCAGTGTACGTGAATTAGCATGTATTACATACTGCTTATCCTTCCTTCTTCACCTTGCTAAAAGGCCTTGGAAATATTCCTTATTGCTGTGCCTGTGGTAAGAACCTGTATATCACCTCAGAGTTCATACCACCTCGCTGCCCAGTAGCTGAGCACTGTCATCAAAGATGAAGCATGGCATGGCATGGCAAATTCTTTTGAGGGTACATGTGTTAAAAAGTGTCTGACACTGGAAAAATTGTCTTGGGATGATCACTGATTTAGGGGCCAGATTTGCAATGGTATTTAATTAACCTGTTCGGGCATACTGAGGTGCCGAGTGGGATTTATACAGCAGCATCCTTAAGTATCTACCTTTGATAGTCTGGCCCAAAGTCTTAGAAGATATGAATTCAATCTCACCTCTGTCATACAATTGTTTGGACAATAGGCAAGTCTCCTAAGCTCTGTGTGTAGCTCCTTATCCATAAAGTAGAGCTAATATTACTTTTGCCTAGTTGAATTGTAAGCTGTCTAGGACAGGGATTGTCTTACAGTGTGTGTAGACAGCACTTCGGACAATAGCGCCCAGTCCTGCTTGTGATCTCTGAGAGACACACTAATGTAGATAATGCTGCCAGCTCAGGCAGAAGAAGAATACAAATGAAAGTGTCTCCTTTCTCCAGGAAAGAGAATTGCAGAAGAGAGAATATATTAAAAAGGTAGAGCGCAAATGAAGTGAGTTCACTGTCATTAGTGCCTACAACAAAATCTATAGGAAGCCAGTGAAAGAGGATGCGTTAGTACATCCTCCTGGACAAACAAGCCTCATTAAAATTTGGGGCTAGAAGCGCAGCATACTTTTGCCTCTAAGTTTATTTTAAGTGATTATTAAATAGACCATCCCTTGCCTAACATTTTTCACTCTTACTTGCAAATAGAGTTGAAGTGGGGAATACCATTATGTAGAAGCATAATTCACATGACTTACATAAATTGAAAATGCAGAGAAAGTGCAAGGGTAGAGTTACTTGTACAGCCAATACCTCCATCAGAATTAGGGATGGTTTGGAAGGTCAGTTCCAAGGAAACAGAATGGCTCTTTGCAGTTGGAGCTGTTTTCTCTGGCTCAAATAGGGCTGTTTGGACTTGCACTGCATCAGAACAGTTGATGCAGTTAATTTACTCTTAACAAAGCTGAGAACCAAACCCAGAATTGTTAGCTTGCAACTGATAATGGATTGTCTCCTGGGCACATAGGGTAGGAAATGCTCTTTCTTAAAATCGAACAGAATAGGAGTGTAAATTAAATATTAATATTATTTCTTATCTTGCTTTGCTATCTTTGATTTCTCTCAAATATAAAAAGTGGTTAAAAACAGCTTTTAAAGTAAAAATAGTCAAAGAACTAGTGTAAAAGTGATGACTAAATGAATTAAGTTCAGAGCCCACACACATGTCTCGCAGTAGTTCTGGATCCAGCACCCTGATACTCTACCTCACATATGTGGGGGTTTGTGGAATGCTTCATTTTTAATTGAGTCATAATATTTCAATTTTTCCTTCCTCTAAATTTTTAATACTTGGCTAATTTCCAGCAAAAGTGAAAGAGGGTAGAGGCTTTCAAGATATTGCGCTCCTAGCAACTTCATGAGTACAGGAGGCTGGCTAGCAAAGAGAAACACTTAGTGCTCCCACTGAAGAAAAAGCTCAAATGTGAATTGAAGTCTTTTTAGACACCAGAGAATTCATGCGGGAGAGATTATGAGTGTTCTGGCTGTGGAAATTCTCCCTTTAAACTTGTTCCTTCTGACACACTGGGGTGTCTAAATGTTGGATATGCTCTGAAAGAACCCAGGCTTCATTAGTTGTGCTGCTCATGGGACTGCATGTTTCACAATATAAGAACCTCAGAAACTATCTTTTTTATTTAAGTTTGATCCAAATAAAATACTGAAGAAAACTTGACAGCTGGGTGTTTTCTTTGGCAACAAATGAGGATGTTTCACAAAGTAAATTGAGATTACCTAAGATTATTGTATGACTTTATGAATTTTGCTTAGATCAATTTAATCTTTCACACAGACTTTTTCTGGCGGGTCATTGGCCATAGAATTTGCCAGAAAAGATGAGCATGCAATCACTGCTAAGCAGAGGAGATTGGAAGAGGCTTTCATTTGCATTTACAGATTTTGATGAAGTCAGGGGCTAGACATTGCTACTGTGCACTGGGGTCATGTCTATTTTATATTTGAATAAAATGTGTACGTGACTGTCTTAATAATATTTGCAGGATCTTTTAGACAAGGTCTAATGATTACAGCTTCTCTTTGAAGCTGAAATACATGAAAGCTTTTGTAGTCCGTATCTGAGATCGGGATGGAGCTGGAACTTCGTTTGGAAGGTCTATGGATAATCCCTCATGTTTTCCAGGCTTGGGCTGATGCCTTTCGAAGTAGCCCTGATTTAACTGGAGTAGTGCATATTTATGAAGAACTCAAGAGGAAAGGCATAGAGTTTCCCATGGCAGATCTTGATGCTCTATCTCCGATACACACACCACAGAGGGTAAGCTGCAGCATTGCAATTCCAGGGGTATTTTCCCAAGATGTCTAAATAGTTGGATAACTACTCTTCTTCCCTCTCCTGTTTCTCTGAATTTGGCCTGTTTTCTCTCTCCTGGAAGGACTTTTTTAGTAGTGAAAGGGCATGTAAGAGAAGTATAATACAGCTGCATTTGTCAGGCTGATAAGCTAATGGTATCTCCTCCCTTGAGTCAAACATCAATCTAAGAAAATAAAAGTTTGGAGGAGGTTTGTATACTTGTCTTGTACCACACAACCACCAGACAAGTGCAACTAATTTGTTCAGAGAGAGTCCAGCAGGATACATGATTGAGATTTACTTCTTTTGCTCAAAAATATGGTTGTTTCTGTTGGTGATAAGCCTGAACCAAGGCCTGCCTGTCTTTTAAAGGTGTACAGAGTCTGAATCTCTTACTGATCCCATGGTAATGTGAGATCTTTACACTTCTGAAAAGTTAGGTCTGGAAAGTTGACAGAACTGCTGCTAGGAGGGAACTTAATGATCACAGGTGTTCTGATTATTCACTCTGAAAACTGAAGTTAATGAATCTTTGAAGTGGTAAATGCAAGTGATCAAGGACTGAAATATTACAATTCGTGTGTCAAGATTAATTAAATTCAGTATCACATCATTTTTTGTAAGCCTGCAACTTAATTCCTAGTTTTAAATAATTTATAATTATTTATCTTTGGCTTTTGTTTTTATTTTGCTTCTCACTTTTCTTGTACAGATAAATTGACTTAAATGCATGTGGGTTGGGTCAAAAGTGATGGGCATGCATTTTTGTTGCAGCTGTCTGTTTATGGGCTGGCCCGCCAGTCTGTTCTCATAACTACACTGACCTTTTCCACAAGGTGCAATTATGTTCTATATTTGAGCATATTTGGGCTGAGGTTGCTGACAAAGCAAGTGCTGTCACAATTCAGCTTTTGAACTCTTGTCTTTCTGATGTGGCAGAGTGTTCCTGAAGTTGATCCTGCAGCAAATATGCACAATTCACAATCTCAGCAAAGGATGAGCACCAGTTCTTACTCTTCATCTTCTCCAACGGCGTATTCTGCTCCTCAGGCCCCAGCTTTGAATGTGACTGGTCCCATCACTGCAAATTCTGAACAGGTATTGGGATGATGATTCTTTTGAGTGAGACTCTTTCAACAGATCAAATTAGAAACCAATTTGCAGAGGAACTTTCATTTTAACTCTTTTGACTTTGATTGCCTCCTAGGTCTGGTTCTACTTAGTAATCTTTCCTCCTATTATACTGTAAAATCTAGGCTTTAGATTTGTATGTATGGCCTCACAATGGCAGCAGTTACAAAACCTCACAATCTGATGTACCAGTCCACTCCGCGGTTGTGCAGTAGGTTAGCAGTTATTATCATTAGCCCCCCTCCTTTAATGGCACAGAATGTCTTGCAGATGCAGGAAGTCTTTCTAACAGGGAGTTAAGTCTGCATCCGTAATGCCCTAATATAGGATCTTCTTTTCTCTCTGCAAAAATAATAACTTCAGAGCCAAAGATCCTGATCAACATTTGTACATCTTTCCCCACGCTTCAGTGAGGCACGCACGGTGTACTGCAACCGAGGTCTGTTTTTAGCTGCTGTTTTCAATTGCTTCCCTTCCATACACGCATAGCACATCTGGGTTTGTGATGATAGTAAGTGGTTCTACAAAGTTCTTTTCTTTTTGTTTTGTTTTTCTAAAACTCTCTCCTGTGTAAACTTTTTTATCTTTACTTTTTTTTTTCCCTGCTAGAATATCTGGAGCCTCAGATATCTAGTCAGACAGAACCAGAGGTATCACAAAGTCAGTTCTTGAAAATGATCTGCTTAAACCAAAAGATTGTGCAGTATTTTGCTGTCTTTTTACCCCAATGTAGATTGCCCGGCTGCGCAGTGAACTGGATATTGTTCGTGGGAATACAAAAGTGATGTCTGAAATGCTGACAGAAATGGTACCTGGACAAGAGGATTCCTCAGACCTTGAGTTACTCCAGGTAAGTTTTCTAGCAAATATGATTCTGATCATTGCTGTGCTTGAGGGGGATGTGGTTTTTGTTGTAGTTTACTTCAGTGCCTTGGTTTGTTTGGTTTACATAATGAATGTGGGCTGTGCTTGACCCTGGTTAGTCTCATGACTTCATGTTACTCATTTGTTAAAGCTTCCAGTGACAAGGATTTCCTAACTTCCCTTGAAACTTGTTCTAATGCTTTCTTCTCCATGTAGTTAGAAATTTTTCCCAGTGTTGAATATAAAGTCTCCTTTACCACAAAGCAGCTTAGAATTGCCATAGACTCTGTAAGCCCTGAGCATTTCTGCTTCTTTTACTTCCTCCATCATCACTCATACAGTGTCAAAAGATTCCCAGTCACTAAGCAGGAAAAAACACTCCATGGTTCCAGCTGGACTAAATATTGCCAAGGGTCTGTGGATTCTCTGCCACTTGAAATCTTACATATGAACTAACTGTCTTTCCAGAAGATGTGCTGTAGATTCTCCTGAAGGTAGTGTCTTAAGGCGGGTGCTCAGGCAAAGTTTCATGCTGTCTGGAGGGTTAGACTCTGTAATCAGAAGGGATTTCTTTGCTGGAAAGTCTCAATCTGGTGCAGCACTTATTATGTCAAGAGGTAAAATGGTGTAAGTTGAGCTTATGTCCCAGGCTTCATACCTGCTTCCCTAGGCCAGTAGTAGCAGAGTGGCCTTTTGGCTGAGGAAAGTAATACAGTACCACATGCAATACAGATGAGGAATACTGTGATCTAGCATTCCAGCTGCTGCCCTTAACATGGTATTTGCCTTTCCATAGCTTAGAAAGAGGCTTCTGTTTTGATCCTCCAGCAGGGAGGATGGGCTCCCACAGCAGTACATTTGGAGGAAGGCAGGGAGTTGCTCTCTGTGATACATCAGGGTCTGAAATCCATCCAAAAACTGGTCTCTCCCATGCAGTGGTATTGTGTGTTTGTCTCGGAGTCATCATGGCAGCTGATGAGAGGCTTTGCAATAAAGAGCCTTTCAGTTACTGCCCGTTTGGGTCGGACTGCTCAAAACAAAAGAAGCTTCCAGGAAACCACAACAGACCAGAACAGTGTAGAACAGTTTGCTTACATTCAGAAACAACTACTAACATCTTGACAGTGTAACCTTACAGCATAGCTTTAAGGTGAAAGAACTTGATCATAAAACGGAGTGACAGCAACGATTCTTTATTCCAACTGGTTCCCTTCTTTGACTGATGCATCCTAAATCTGAATCACAGAGCTGAGGAGAAACCGTTTTTGATCACAAAGGATGGTTAGTCTTTTGAAAGCTGTGAGCCGGTTGCTGCATGCAAGGACTCCTTGCTTTGAGGTTTATATAGCCCTCCTCCTTAAATAATTCCTGACATTTTCTCTAACAATCAAATGTAAACAGCTTGCTAGAGAGCCAGCTCTGAGCAGAATAGATAGGTACTGTCAGCCCTCTCAGAAAGGCAGCAAACAAACCTCTGAAATGTCACAATCTGCTTCTCAAGTGATGGGATCAAAACTGACATTGGAGAACACATTCCTCAAGCTGTTAAGGCAGCTGGATTGCACTAGGTGAAATTTATCCAGAGCTTAGGATGTCAGACCAAGCAAGGAAAACAAACACATTTTTGCTTTCATCCCGAAGGTTGTGTACCAACAAGTCATCCTTGTTTAGTGCTGAATTTTTGCTGTGAAGTGGAGCTGGGGGAGGGGGGAGAAGATGACAGAGGGACATGCTTTAGTTGAAATGTCAGTGCTTATTGAAGTAAAACCGTGGGCCTAATCAGTGGCGCCATGCCATATGTCACATTTCTTCTTGTAGTTCCTCCTCAACAGACCAGTTTTGACCTTTGGTCTTGAGGCCTTTCAGGAGTAAAGAATTCTGCTAAGTAATTGGTGATGGAAGAGATGTCCTGGAAGCATCAGAACTCCTGGTTTAGGCAAACTCAAATCTAGATTTCTTGGCACGAGAGACTTCTAAAATAAATGCCCTTACTCTATATTCTTTAAAATTTTCTTCTGAAACTCCCCACTGCCTTTTTGCAGTCTCTTGTCTGTGGAGTTGCTCAGTTGAAAGGAATGTTTCTGTGTATAGTTCAGTACTGAAGTATGTATGGTGTGGTCATCTTTTCCTGCTCCTGCTCCTTGTTTTGTGTTCACCCTCATGTTCTCCGCAGTTGGTAAGTTCTGTGTCCCCAACACTTCTCTTCCTAGTGCACACTTAGCTACTTGTGGTAGCCCTGATGAACTTTTTTTCCCTACTTGTTCCACCATGTGCATCTTTTAATTTTTAAGGATGATACTGCCAAAAAGAGCAGATTGAATTTTCCTTGAAAGCTCTCTTCTGGAAAGCTGTTGTATTAACATGTTTTATTCTTAAAACAGATCACTAAAATACAGATATTTATTTTCTGAAGTGCTCAGAGCTAAAGAAGAATCAGGATGTTGATTTGTAAATAGGCTCTCAAGGTTTTATGCCATCGTCTCTTGAAGGGCATGTTTGATTAGATGTGCTTTTGGGTGACATTTAATCATGCAAAGATAGACTTGTCTTAGTGTTTCTCAGCTGGGGGATATGTTTGGCTGTGAACAGAGCTCAACTAAATCTACTTATTGCTAGCTGCTTATCAGAATGCGTGTGCACAATGCATTCCTCCTAGGAACTGAACCGAACCTGTAGAGCTATGCAGCAGAGAATCGTGGAGCTTATCTCACGAGTGTCCAATGAAGAAGTCACAGAGGAACTGCTGCATGTGAATGATGATTTAAATAACGTCTTCCTCCGATACGAAAGGTGGGGCACCTTTTCCATGAACTATTTACATTCATTCTGGGTTTTCACTTAAGTGTAAAATAGGTCAGTTGACAAGAGTTGGCCGTCTGGGCCAACGGTCCAACATAACAAAATGCAGAGAACCAAACCACAGAAAGCATTTACAGTCTTTTATGGTAACATTCCTGTTTCTGTTGTTTCCTCCAATACTATGATTTATTTTTTTTTGTCCTAGCCATTGAATTTTTGTGGGGCATATCCGTAAAATGCAGGGCAACCTTGTGCAAAACTCTCTGAACTAGCAGAGACCTGAGTCTGCAAGTCCCTGTTGTGCAGTGCTGTACTGATGTAGGGACTTGGGACTGAAAATAGCATAGCCACAGTTGCTAGTTCCACTTGCTAGCCTGGGCTCTGCACAAATGCTTGTGCTGCTTCCTGGCTTAGGGAGGCTCCCGTGAGCTCTGTCTTCTGATCTCTGAGCTTTCTAGTTCCAGTACTGGTGCAAAGGGAGCTGTCTGAGGTGGGCGTGACCGTCATGCACGTAAGGGTTTTGTTTTTAAGTAACACTTAAAATCTTGAAAAAAACCTGTCTTGCGCAGAACTGAGGTTTTGAAGAGTTGGTCTGTGGGAATCATCCCCAGGGGCGGGACTTGGGTCACAGGACTTTCGACATGTTAGACAAAGGCGCTGTCAGCCACATCTGCTGCAGTAGGTGACACGTGATAGAGCAGTCTTGGGAAAGTTTAATCTTCCCCTTAATGACAGGCCTGGGGAGTGAGGCACTAAAGAGTACCCTTTGTTACTTGCTCTTAGCACAGGGCTTTGTTTCTCAAGCCTTTAAAAATAAATTAGACTCTAGATCTGTGAATCTATGCTGTCATGGCAAAGGCTGGAAAGTAGACTCAGTGGCCTCGATTTTTGTCTTTGATTTAGTCGTTCAGAGGAGATTGGGGCAAACTTTGAAACAAATGCTGGCTTTTTATGTGGAATGGTATGTGTTTCATGCACGAGCATGATTCTACAAGTGGCAGAGTGTAACTGTCACTAAGGCTTAGTCTGGTCAGCCTTAGTATTTTTTCTATTTTCCTCCATCTGTGCCTTTGCTGACTGGGGCTAATGTATTTGTAGTCATTATACACTGAAAGGTGAGCTGAGTGATTTTAGCAAGCTATTTGTGGTAGAATAGCTGCACTGGTCTGAGCATTTCAATAAATTCCAGTTCCTTCTCTGCTATTCCAAAAGCTCCACATTCATCACGCTGATTTCTAGTATGGGTGCCGAGCTCTGTCAGTGACTCAAGCAGGAGCTCTGGCCTTCACTGTGAAGCTTTGGATGTAAACGAACGTGTGGCTCATAAGCCTTTTGGTGAGAAATATGAGGTGGGAGGTGTCTCAGGTTTCCAGCTAAGGGAGCTGCATTTCCAGTAATAGTAGACACCCACAGTTTCCTAAAATTGAAATTTGGGCCTGAATTTGGTTTTGCTGCCTTTTAAGTTTGCATTTTCCTCTGTTACATTAAGAAAACATTTTAGTTTGCTTGAGATTCCCAGTTGTATTTTGTCCATCTGGGCGAAAACCCACAGGTTTATTATTATTATTATCAATATTATGGGGTTTTTTACTGAAAAGAGAGGTTACACATGAAACTACTTTTAAATGAGGAAAAATTCTAGCCTCTGAGAAATCACAGTGCTCTTCCTGGTAAGGAAGGAGATCAGACTGGCCTCAGACAGGCCTTGGGAGGAGGTAGTTCCCTCTGCTTTTTTGAGTTCACAAAAGCTTCATTTAGGTTTGCGACCCCAGATGCACAGCTGGTTGGGGAAGGAGTAGAGAAGAGACCAGATCTTGACTAGCCAGACTTCTTCCCCTAAGAAGTATGAGGATTTTTATCCAGTGTCATTACTTTTCATTCTTGGAAAGTACCAACCTATTTGAACATAGGTTCTGATGATCTTTGAGCTGACCCAGAATGTTTTAAGAAATTAATCTGCTAATTGTTGTTTCTCTTGCCATGTGCTGCCTGGGTAGGACTGTGCTAGCATGCATATGGCTTCTAATTTACATGTATTGCAGCAAGGGGGAGCTGTTAAGTGGGAGTTAAGACTTGCTGCGGTGCTCAACTTAGCTGGGAGCATCAATCTTGCTGCAAGTCCTTCTGTCCCTTGGCTAACAGAATAGTCTATCACAAAGCACTTAATGGAAACAAACAAACAAAAAACCCAAAGACAAATCCTACAGTGCTTTTCAGGCATGTGTGTGCTGCAAGATCAGATTAGTCAACTTAATATTTGCCAAGAATGCAACTTCTGCAACTGTTCTCCATTTTTCCTGGCTTGGACTTAAAGCTCTCAGGGTTCCCTCTTGAACCAATGAAAACTAAGTTCAGTGGCAAGCATGTCATGGCTTTGTTATAAACTCGTGTTTTTGATTGTTTATTGGTGGCTTTGATAGTCCATGTTGGTTTTTTGTTTTTTTTCTAAACAGATTTGAACGATACAGATCGGGACGTTCAACACAAAATGCCAGCAATGGAGTAAGTACCTCGCTCCATTTATTTTATCAGCAGTTACAACATACTAGCCATATTAATATCAGTAGTATCACTTTTTACCTGTCCAGCCCTGTGTGCTGCCTTTAGTGGCTAATAGTGGATACCAGGAAAAGAGCGCAAGAATGTGGCAAACTGCAAGTGACAATTTTAGCTCAGGAAGACATTACACTAAAACATCTCTGTGTTCACAATCCTTGATGGATTTTCTTTGCTCTATTAACTTTTTTGATTGGTTTTGAGTCCATGTGGACTTTAGGAATTCACAGTGTCCTTAAGCAGTGAGTTCCACAGTTTCACTACACATTTTTACATATTTATGTGGGTATTTATATGTAATAAATATTCTGTTTACATTTGATTGAACCACTTAATAATTCTTATTTGCTCCACCTAATTCTTCTTCACTGTGTCTTACAATACCACTGTTCAGGTTAATTTTCTTCATGCCACTCATAATTTTAAGAACCTCTCTCATCTCCTTTTTCAGCAGCCCCTTTCCAAGCTGAAGAGTTACAGTTCTAATTTTTCGTTCAATGAAAACTATTTTATAGTTGGTTTATAGTGTTCAAGATCTGGGTTCATGATGAATTAGTATGTGACAGTATTACATTTTCTATTCTGCATTCTTCTAACCATTTCCTCTATTTACTTTGCCTGTTTGATTGCCTCTTCTACTGCAGTGTGATGCAAACTTCAGCACAGGCTCTGCATTCTAACTTTAGTCATGACAAAGAAGTTATGTTTCTGAAAACAGTTTACACCTAATGTGGAAGATGGTACTAAATTCAGTTTGACTTAGATCTGATGTTGGTCCGGTGCTAAAAGAGGTGGAGAACACAGACACATTAGCTAAATCTGAAGGATGTAGATGACCTCCAGGAGAGCTTCCTGCTGTGCTAAGCAGTCAAACTGAGATTTTTTGGTGGCTGACCCTTTTTATTCTGCACTCATCATTGTAGTATCCAAGAGACTGGTCCATTTGGCAATATGCAAGAGAGATCTTTTTAGGAAGCGCCCATTATTTTTTGGTGTTTCATGTTGCACTGCAAGAAGAAATCTCTGGCATGTGTAACTTGCTGTGTTTCTTGTGTCCCAACAGGTACTGAATGAGGTGACAGAAGATAACTTAATAGATTTGGGTCCTGGCTCTCCAGCTGTAGTAAGCCCAATGGTTGGAAACTCAGCACCCCCGTCTTCACTTTCTTCACAGCTTGCAGGGCTTGGTGAGTACCTGGTCTAAATAGTGTGGATGAACATGAGGCTGCAATGCGTGGACTTTTTCAAGCGTAACCAGTCTGTGGGTCTTGAACAGCATGCAGGGGCTGCTAGGCAATCCAGGTGTGTGATTGTGGGAGCAAGTCTGAGCGGTTGCTGAGGTCTCTGTGACTGACCTGAACACCCAGTACAAGCCCTTATCACAGTGGGCTGTTGGAATTTATGAGGAGCCATTTTTCACTTGTGGGTCAGGGAGTTTCTGCTCCCTTGGGGTCTCCTCCACCTGATTAATGTTGCCATGTAGCCTTTGGAAGGTTTGGGTATGTGTGTTGTAGGATTAGGAGGACTTTCCCACTCCCTTGCACTGTAGCGATCTGTAATTGGGAACCAGCCTGGCACAAAGGGAGGGATTTATTAACCAAAGGGGAGACTGAAGGAAAGGGTGCAGGTTCTTGTTCATAGTAAAACTTGTATTACTACTTTTATTTCTGCTTAGGTATAGCTCTCCATGAAATCAGTCTGGTGAATGTTCTTGGTTTCACTTCTACAAATAATATTTGAAATCTTTGGTTGAAAGTTTTTATGAAACTGTCAGGTGTTTTACATTAAATCGAACCAAAGATTGCTAGATAGGATCACTTGATCTGGGTGAAGGTTCTTCACCTCTTTCAGCACTGTGCCAATATCATTATCATTTGATTTGAAACTGCTGGTTTCACAGTCAATATGTGAGAGACAACATTGTGGAGAAGACTAATATCCATGCCAAAATTTTGGACCATGTTAGTGAATAGTAAATATCTCAGAATGAGATTGGCAGCAGGTGCACACCAATTCCCAAATGCTGGTTTCTCGATGGAGTACTTATGGTGTGGTGCTTCCAGGAGAAGTAAGACAATATCTACATTTGTCTTTTAAGAAATGCATGATTAGCAGCCTCCAGCCTCTTCTGGACAGAACTGTGCTCAGTGCTGCAGCTGTTAACTAGATGATATCTATAGCTGCCCTGTATTGTTAATGACTTCCTCTGTAACCTATACAGTCGTGGCAGTGGTGCTTCCATATGGTTTGCTATTTCATTGGTTCACTTTTTTTGCCTCTGGTTGCAGACTTGGGTACAAACAGCGTCAGTGGCACACTCAGCTCTCTACAACAGTGTAATCCTCGTGATGACTTCGACATGTTTGCACAGACAAGAGGCAGTTCCTTGGCTGAGCAGCGAAAGAAGTATGTTGGAGTTTGTCTTTAGCACTGTTGTCTAAGGGCATAAATCTGAAACTTCTTGACTAAAAAAGTCATTTTGGTGTATGTTTTTGTGCTTTTAATCCAATCCCTACCCTGTTGGTCATTATTAGTATGAGCGAGTGGAGAAGTTCCTGCTGCTGGGCAGAGCTGACTGGCTGACTAATGTTATTTGACTGTCTTAGTTAATGAGCTCACTGGAAACTTGGAAATGAACTTGCCTTTATTTCTGCAGATGCTTCCTCTCATAAAGGCTTCTCATCCCATCCACCCGGCCAGTTCTTGAGATACAGGAGCATAAGGGTCCTTCACCTGAAGGTCATGAATATACTTTGGTGACTGAATTACTGTCATCAGGGGCTTGGAAACAGAATTACCATCCAGTTAAACTCTCCCTTTGGCCCAGCAGTCAGACTCTGGTGGGCTGTCAAGGCAGTGTAGCTTGCCCGGCTGCCATGCTACCCCTAATTTGTTTATATGCATAGGGCTTGCATCTCTAGAGCTGCAAATCTGGCACTTTCAAGGGCATTTAACAGGTCTAATTATTTTAATATAAAATAAATCTATGCACTTATTAAGAAGTCCTCTGATCCTTGTCAAATGAGATTCAGTAAAAGACACACTCAGGTATTTTTCTTTCATATATTATTTCTTGCCTCCTTCTGGTTTCAGATCCTAGAGGATGTAGTGGCTACCAGCAGTCAGAACATCATCAATATCTTGTCTCAAACAAATAAATGTTGTTAAATAGTTTAGCTCAGACCTTAGCAGATTATCAAAAACTTACCAGCTCTTGAAAACTTGAGCCAGCAAATTTATTAGGATCTTTTATTTGCGGTTATCAATATAGCTATTGGTACTGCCTTAGCTGTAGTATCAGTGTTGAGAAGATGTGCTCCACTGTAGAGGCGTACATTACCACTGGAGATTTCAGGCTGAGAGCCCTAATGTATAATCAGAAAGGAGATGCATTGCAGAGAGATCTAATGGAGGTCCCTCTGTCTCTTGTGCTAAATGAAGCACGAAACTAGTCTTCCCACACTGCACCTCTATCTCCTTCTGCAAGTTAATGGAACAAGGAGCACATATCAGTCCATGATTTCACAAGGGAGGATTGCTATATCTTCCTTGGATTGTACGCTGTGTAAATGGAGCAGCAGCGAGGCAGTAAAGATGTGAGTGTGACTTGCTGCGGTGTGTAGGTGAGAGCCTCAGCGTGCTGTGCTCAGATCTTGGGAGAAGCCAGCATGCTGGAGGAGAAATTGCTCCTCCAGCTCAGACATGCGGCTCCTCCCAGGAACTGATTTATGGGCAGGTGTTGGCATCTGCTTCACCTCATGATTCACCACTGTGCTCTCAGAAATGATGCTATTGCTTCTGTCACCTGACTGCTACATGTTCCTTTTGCATAACAATTTAAGAAGCTTTTTACAAATCTAACCCCTGTAAATAGTGCATTTCTTTGTATGCTTCACTGTAGTTGCTTAGTTATGTTTCATCTGTCTTCGAGTCTCCCTCTGCCTCCCCCCCATGCACACATCAAGGTCAGGTTTCCAAATGTCATCTTCAGAGCTTTGCAAAACGTCATCTGTAATCAGGCCTCTTTTCATAGTCCCCTGCTAGCTCTAGGAGACACTTACGGTGCCTTGTAACCTATTTGCGTGCCTTTCATAATGCTAGTCTTACCCTTTTTGCTTCAATGTGCTTACTGAAACTGATGGACGGTCTTTATACAGAGCACACTCCTCTTCTTGGAATACACTTAGTACACTTGAAGTCTTGTTAAGAAAAAGAATGTGCTTTCTGATTTCCAGGGGAGTAAATCAGAGTAGCAAGTGCGTTCTGCATGGGTGACTGCTGGACTTCCTTCTAGTTCTGTGGTTTGTTCCTTTCTTTCAGCGTGACGTATGAGGATCCACAGGCTGTCAAAGGACTAGCATCTGCCCTGGATGTTCGAAAACAGAACACAGGAGGGGTAGGTCGTTGCTCTGCATTTTGTTATCTGAAGCCGTGTGTGGAATCCAAGCTTTAGGCAGCTGCTTTGACCAAGACTTCTCATTATGTATTCCAGCAACATGCTAGTACTGGCTATTTTGAAATTGATACCTAGGAGCAAGTACTTGCTCAGTAATGATCTCTAAAGAGCTGCTACTTAGCACACCAGCCTAAAAGACTTCAAAATCATAGTGAGTAAATTCTCCTGTGTTCTTGCAGCTTGCCTGGGAGGTCTAGCTCTTTGACTGGAATCACTGCTGAAAAGAATAAGTGGGGAATGTCTTGTGAACACTGGTGTGCATTTGTTTGGTTCATTTTTGCTTACGAAAGTTGTTGCAGTCTTAATCTGCTAGACTTTGCTCTAAGTGCTCAGATACACATGCAAGGTACAGGGAGAGAAATTATGTAGACTTTTAATGCTTCACATGCCTTGCCATAACTGCCCTTGCACACAGTCTGTTCTGTCAGTCCCAGGGCAGGCTCCTGCTATCTTGTGTGGGCAGAAGAGGCCCATGTGCTGTCACCTCACAGCAGCTGGTGCTAGAAACATGCTTGAGAGAGCAAGCTTGGCCAGCTTTGTCTGCATACCTTGGAGAAGGCAGAAGTGAAAAGAGCTTTCAGATCGTCCCTTAACCCCTTTCTACCACCCTGCTTTTTAAAACTGTCCTGCTTTTTTGTACTCAGCTGCGTGTAAGTTTTTGGATGACGGTGCAAGTTCAGAGCCTTTTCCTAGTCTAATTTTGGTCTGTACTGACCACTAGGGAGCACGGCAGAGCCAGTGTAGCATGGGAGAGCCAGTGCAGCATGCACACACCTCCCTCCACTGAGAATTGCCTCCCCATGCCTTGGCTGATTTCGCCCTGGTTCTTTCATAAGTTGAAATGGGAGTGCTCAGGGCAGCTGGCATGCCTGGCAGCTTGTTCTCTGAGCCAGGGAGAATTTGCATTCGGAGCCAGCTGGGGTCAGATCACAGCTGCCTGCCTGCTTCGGCCATAGTTCAGTGGTAGCAGGCCTTCAGCAATGATTTCTTACGGAGCATCCCCCTGCCCCACAAATCTATCTGCTTGTTCCTGTCCCTGTCCTCCTGCAAAAAGGGTAATTTATAACCCAGGTCAGCCCTGTGACCAGTTTCAAGCTCGGCCCCACAAAAACTCATGCCAGCAGTACTGAGGGAAAAGGGGGAAGCATGGGGAGGCAGGGGCAGAAGTATATTAAGGGGGTGAGAGAGGAATTCCTGAAACCAGTGTGACAACCCAAGCCCCCGGTATCACTGTGCTGTGTTATTGGCAGGACCTGGGAAAGGATTTGAGATTCTGCTCTTTGTTCCCGGCTAACTAAACACAAGAGGCTTGCATTTAGCTACTGGTCAAGGGGGCTCTATTCCCCTAGTGGCCATGGGGTCATGTCCTTATTTATTAACACTTTTGTTCTCAGCCAATTCTGCTTGAGGCACCAATGCGACGTGTCATTCACACCAGCATAGCTGCTGCTCTGCCCGAAGTGTTGTCAGTTCAAAGGGCTGTGTCTAAACTAATCTGACGGTCAAAGTTTTTTTGGGCAAACGCTTTATGGGTTGTGGAACTTTGGGCTCTGAGATGTCGTAGAGACTTTCAGCCTCTTTTCAAAGGTCCTGATGACTGTATCATGTAATCAGAATAGCTTGTTTTGAAATGCAGTCTTTCAGAAATTGGTAAACACTGCTTCTTGTCAGGTGTTGTGAGGCTTGTGGGTGTCTCTCCTTAAAGGAAATGAAAATTAAACTCTCCTAAAGTTACCAGCCCCGGCATGTGTAGCAAAAAACTGGCAGTGCTCAGTAAACGAAAGACACGCGTTAATTTGGGTAGAGAGCTAATTTAAGAACAGCTCTAGGGAGGAGCCAAAAGCTTCGCAACACATTCTTCACACACTTCTTGTTCCAGCACAGTTGTCCAGTGGTAAAATTCAGCACATCCGATGTTTCTAATGTAGTCATTCTCAGAATGGTCTGTAGAGAGATGGCTAATCACGTGGCATTAGCTGTCTTTTAATATGATTTAGCAGTTGGAAACAAGACGAGCTAAAAATACACTGTTTTCTTAATATTGCTTTTCCATGTTGGGAATTGCTTTTGTTGCCACAGAGTTGTTGCATGATCACAACTGGGAGGAGAGGTGTCCAAGAAACAATTCTCTAGTGTTACACAGATAGTAGATGAAGTTGGAGTGATTTCTCCCTTTTTTTTCTCAGCACAAGTACTGAAATGAGACATAAAAGATGTGATAGTGGGGACAGGAGGTGTATCCCACATATATGGGTATCTGCATGGAGGTACATAAACATACCAGTGGCTCTCTGCTGAGCTAGCCCAGTTCTGGCAGGGCGGGTGGGCTGGAACTGCTGTGCTCTGCCGGTCCTGAGCAAGCCCCTCCAGAGCTAGAAATGACTCTGCATCCGGGCCCTGGCTCAGGGATGAGATGCTGAAGGACAAGAAGCCATCTTGAGAGTCTTTGTGTTGCTGTGCCATGCAGTCTGCAACCTGCTCAGAGGAACTGGATGCATCAGCGGTCCTTTTAACCTCTGTCGCTCTTCAAAAGGGGCAGTTTGAAAGACTGCCAGAACACTGCAGCAAACTGCCATTACTTACCCTCCTGCTCAACGCCATCATTAGAGCTGTCGTACTGTTAGAGTTTGGGGCAGAGTCTGTCTGCTGAGCTTAAGGAGGTAAGTAGGGTGTGCTGCAAGTCACAGCTTCGCAAACAAGGGAAACTCCACAGTGTGTAATACTAGTGTTTCTGGTAAAGTCTGACTGATTTTAGTAGGTTGTATAGCCTATCCTTTTTCTTCTAAGAAGATGACAAACATCAGCCTCACTACTAGTCAGTGATTTTTTTTTTTTTTTTTTTTTTTAATATCAGCATGGAGGAAGTGCTAAAATTCTGTGAACTGTCTGTAGGAAGTGCAGAGGTCGGGGTGAGGTCTGTACCTCCACGGACAGAGCTGACAGGCAGCAGAGGGGGATGCAGCTGCTGCCAGAAGCTACCATAGGCAACTCTGTGTGTGTGTATGTGTATATGAAGTTTTTAACTTGCTGCTGTTATATTACTTTATCTTGGGTTGTTGCTGTGGTTTATCTCTTTATGGACAATTTCTGTTCTCAACACAGAGGAGAGGTAAAGGTGGGAACTCAGACATGGAGCCTATAGACAAGTGGCTAATTACACAAGGAATGGTGAGGACTTCACCAGTGAAGCGATTCCTACTGCCCACCCCAGTCCCTTTACCTAGAATAACCATCCTCCATTCACCTCTCGTCCTGCCCTACTGAACCACTTGAAATCAGACAGTACAAGGAGTTTACTTCCCACCCGGGGCAAAGGGAAAGATTTGAACCAATTTCTGGTTTACATAGCACAAAGGCCTGTAACCGACTGAATCGTTTGTAGGATCCCACATCACCTTCAGAAGAGGCCTGGGGATCCAATTGGTTCCTTATACTGTCTTGATTTATTTATGCAGTATCCACTTTTCGAGGGATAAACACAAGTCTCATGGATCTTGTTCATAAAGAGGACACTTTCTACATGTCTTTAAAGCAGCCTCTTCTGGTAGTGCTTAACTTTGTGGTCTGTAATAGACATACAGAAGTTGTAGGATCATACCTAACTGAATGGAGTAATGTAGGGATAGCTCTTTATGAAAGGAAGGGAATGGGAGAACTGCTACCCAGATTGACATCTTCCACCCCACTGACATTAGGATTCAGACTCCAAAAGGCACAATCGTGTTTCTGGCTGTAAGGATTTAATTCCCGTGTCTAGTGATGCCAGTGCTCTGATAAAGTCAAGCTTCTGAAGATCACTGAATCTGTGCACATTTTGACCTTGTTTGAAGTTGTCCTTCATCAACACGCTTGCAGAGAGAAGTTCAAGTCTGCTTTAAGTGCAGAAGTCAGAAGTAGGTAAAAAATAGCCTCAGCTATGCCTTAAAGCCAAGTTCTAAGACCAATTTTGTATTTTTGGACAATGTAATCCATCACTTTAAGTGTTTGAGATTAGTACCAATAATGTGACCTAACTGCACAAAGTCCCTCTGAGACAGTCCTGACTGCAGCTGAGTTCGGAAAGGTGCAGTGCAGAATTCCCTTTGGGCTGGCGTGCGCTTGCAGTGCAGCTTGTGGGGCTGGGTGTCAGGAAGCCTGTGGAATGGCAATGCCTCCCTCCAGGGAGAGCCTTGAATGTCCTAGACTGAGCTGCCCAGTGCTTAAAAAGAGAAACAACCCAGAGAGTTTAAGGTTGAGAAAATCCAGAGTGTGCAATATCAAAGTGCACCAACTCTGTGAAACACTTTGCATTTATTCTTCTAGGCTTAGGGCTAATCCAGGTTATTTCTGAGGGCCAGCTTGTGAATTTGTCAGAAGTTTGCATGGCTTGTGCATGCACAGTGATTGGACACGTGCATGTATACGGTCCTGTCTGCCTGCCCATGCAAGCACCCAGAAGCAGTTCTGTGCCTGCTAGCAGACATGGGTAAGCCCAGTTGTAGGTACCTACCCTTGGGAGCCAGAGTTTCATTTCAGTGCTTGTCAGAGACCTACAGCTTGTAACATGAGAGGGAAAAGCCATAAAGTGAGCAGCGCTTGCTTTGCCTCTGATATTGTTGATTGTGGTTCACAGAGGCTCTTGCTGTTCGGTGGCTCTGTTGCAGCCAGAGATGTACTATGCCACTGTTAGATGTTCATCCATAATGAATAATCCAGTGATTGAGTTAGTTCCTCTTCTTTGCCTTTCCACTGTTTACAAGAGCAGGGAAGCATGAAATCGGCACCCCTGCTGTTCACACCACTCACACCACTGCTTTATTAAAAAAACAAACACAATATTCGTTCATTGGCTTGTGGTTATTCAGTCTGGAAAAAGGATACTGCAGCATTCATGGAGGCATATGGATTTGGGGAGGGAAGGGGGTCTGGCTGTCCAGCCAGTCACTGCTCTTACAAGCCTG